TCTTTCATAGATTGATCCATGTACTTAACGTTTGCACCAATGTCAGAGTTATTGTAATACAGAGTTGTTTCTGATGCTTCACCTATTCGACCTGCTCTTCCCATTTCTTGCATATAAGCTTCGATACTGCGTGGTGGAGTTATGTGGATGACGTTCTTTACATATGGTGCATCTACTCCCATTCCTAATGCCGCAGTTGCAAATAAAACCCTCACCCTTGAATCCTCCTTTTTTATTTCGCTAATCAATTCTTTCTTCATTCTATCTGTTTGTGGTGAGTGAAATTGTGCAAACAATCTGCCTGTAGGTTCTGTTGTGTTACCAACAAACTGATTCTCACCTAGCACTCGTTCAAACAGGGCATATGCATAACCACAGTACTTTAACTTTAGATAAATGATGGTCATGGGATAATTTTTACGTTACATAGCAAGTTCTTCAGCAATTGGCTCAAGAATAGCAGAATAGCTGTCTTTTCCAAAATTGTTATTTAGTCTCATTTCTTTGTTTAGGTATATATTTTGTCGGTTGGGATTTACACAGACCATTTTTGCACTAGTCATAGACAAACTAAATTTAAGTTTCTTCACAAGGTGTGGTGTGGCTGTAGGGGCCAAGGTAGGCACTCTGGGGAAGAAAGCTTTGAGTGCTGCTAGTTCCTTAAAATCATCTCTAAAATCTTCACCCCTATAAAAAGATTAATCACCATTTGAGTTATCCATGGGGTAAGAGTGTTTGTATACTAAATTAAATGGTTTAACTTACATATAAGGGGTCACCCTACCAATAGTAACTCAGCCTCGGGGCCAGAAATCATTCGTTTTTGCACCAAGTTTATTGACACCACAAACAAAAATGATCTACCAAACAACAATTCATATTTTGAAACCTGCGTGTCCAGGAAAAATCATGAAATATAGCGATCAGTTATGCATTTTTTAAGTATACAAAAAGTGGTGCTAAACGATTTTATAGCTAGATAAGAACTGGGACTTTGCTTAATTTTAAATTATTTATAGGTTTAGCATGAGGGCAAGAGTACCGTCTAACCCCAACATTAATTATGCATTCAGACTAGTAGACTTTGTTTATAAAGTTTTGTCGTGAAAGACAAGGAAGTGGAATGCATAATTAATGTATGGGGTTATATGGTACTCTTTCCAGCAAAAGTTATTCTATAGTTTAGATTTTTTGGTTGATCAAATATTATAGAAGTTATCAACCGTAAATTATAGCTTACTGTACTTACCATAGTTCAACACAGTGAGCCTCATCAATTACACAAGCAGCTACATTATCTTGAAAAACTTTACTACACATCAATTTTCTGCCTTCGGCGCTGAGTAGCGCCTCAGGTTGAGCGAATATAATCGAACAACGTCCTTCGAAAACCTCGGGTGAAACAGAAAACTTCGCGCCTTCGTCCATGGCGAAATTCTCAAACAGCTTCTCTTGCTCTTTACGTTTCCCCACATTCATCCGAAGCACTCCAGCTTTGATTCCTCCTCCTTTTAATACCTTGAGTTGATCCTCGATTATCGAGTTCAAAGTACTAGCAACAATCCAGTTGGTAAGACAGCTACAACATCATGACCATTCAATAAATACTCCGAACTCCAAGCATTTAACTTGTTGAGGTTTTAAATTTATAGGAGGGAAACTATTCTTATTAAAAGCTATTTGAAGATTTCCAAACACGTGAGAAACACCTAGTTGCGCCGCCATGTTTACAGAGATGACAATTTATTACACCCAGAATTTCAGTGTGCTGTGACGTCACTCATCAGCCTATGCCAGGGCCTTTTCCCGCCCCACAAAATTTTCAAAAAGGGAAAAGTCCTGGGAACGAGGTTGGTTTGCTTTTCTTCTCCATAGACTTCAATCATGAGTTTTTTTTCTCTCTCTTTCTGACCAAGTGGTTTCTTCTTGCGCTTGCATAAATGTACGCTGCTGGTGAGCTGAGTTTCTAACAGAAAAGAAACCCTCACAGCGCTTGACGATTGAAGGAAAACGGCAGTCCGGGATCTCTTTGCATAAAGCAATAGTTAATTTTTTGCCCGTTGGGTTCTTCACGGGCTGAACGCATGAACACTTGCTGTCAAGATGTCGCGACACCGTCTGCTTTTCCCTGGTTATCGTCCGCTATCTTTAAA